CTGCCCAGTTTATGGAAAAGCACCTCTCCCCAGTCCGCTGGAAACAAAGACCAGCCGTATTCTTTTACACGGAATCCTGTCTAGATGAAGGGTTTGTCCTTGGGACAGGGAAGACTAAACAATTATTAATCTCAGCTTCATAGGCAAAGGCAGTCAGTCTGACACCTGCATTCCGTTTCTTTCTTTCTTTGCAGGAGCCTAATGGTTTGAACCAGAAAGCCTCTAATGAGCGATAGTTTTCCTTTTGACTAAACCAGGAAACACGGTTTACCAGTTACAATCCAGGGTATTAAACTGGTTTTAAATTGGAATTAATATCCTGGCTTATTCCAAAAATGGTTGCCACAGTTACCAGTGCGACAAAAAACAGGAAGCTGTGATAACTGAAAGTTTCTTCTGGAAGGCCTGAATAAAAACAGCCTGAAGCAAATCTGTGGGAAAATAATCGGGCAGCTGAGGGATCAGGGAGACTGCGTTTCCACACATCTGGAGGGTGCCCTGCTGGAGAAGCCTTAGGAAGCACTTAAGAATGTACGAACATATAAACACAATTTCAGTGATTATTTCAAAGCTTATCTAATCCAGCATTTTGACCATTTATTTCTTTGTTTAAATGTTTAAACTGCCCAATAGCCTAAGCTCTCTGGCAGTTTACAATAAAACACACTAAAAAATACAATTTGAATAAAAATATGTTCAATAAAAGGCAGAATAAAAGCACCATGTAAACTAGGCAGCTGCAAGATGGCCATTCAAAAACTAAAACAATATGAATTAAAATACAACTAAAAGCCAATTGAAAAGCCTGGGAAAATCAAAAGGTCTTCGCCTGGTACTGAAATGATGCTAATGGGGGCACCAGTCAAGCCTCCCTAGGGAGGGACTTCCATAAACGAGGTGCCACCACATAAACAGCTCTCTCTCTTTACGAAAAGCCAAACATCTACCCTTCCCAGCAAGGAGGATCTGAAAAAAGGGGTCTCCCTTGCTAATTTCCAATGACGACTAGTCAGAGATATACTGCCCCTAATCCTGGAAGTTCCATTTGCTGCATGTGGTCAACGGGCAGCTCAGAGAGGAAGAAGCTTTACGTCTGATGTTGTGGCGTCCTTGCTGGGTCCCAAAGGCTTTCAGGAAAGACCGGGAAGCAGTCGAGCTAGCAAAATATTCCCTGTCATTGCTGCTTTCCGGTTGGCTCTTACCGACTCAAGAATCAACGTTTCGTCATTTAAGGTGCTCGCTGCATGCCTCGCAAGTTCTCTCTCTCTGAGCGCTCTGCAGAACGAGGGCAGATGCAGCCAGCAAACGAATGCGTGCAACTTCACACTTTTGAAAGATGCCTCAATGACTGAGCTGAAATTTAACGTCGCACGGCGGGCGTCTCATCTCTGCCCAGACAGGACCAGGAGCCACAGCTGGCTCCCTCCCCTTCGCGCACAGGGAGGACTTGGGGACCAAAAGAGGGTTTTCTCTCCGGGGAGGTCTCCAAGGTATCTTAGCAAGACAAGACCCGACCCTGCGCGTTTCAAAGAGAAGTTCAAGAAAATCAGGTTGCACGAAGGCAACCGCAGAAACGTCCAGCCGCCTCCCCCCGCCCCGCATCTTGCCTCTGGGATCACGAAGCCCCAGGTCTCCTCTTCTGCCACATGCGCCATTCCCTCTTGCCCAGATCCCGGCCGGCGCAGGCCTTCACTCCAGGGAGAGAGTCTCCCCCCCACCACCCCCTGAACTGCGAAGGACGAGCCTAGCCGGCCCCCCCTCGAGGCTGCCTTCGCCCAGCACCTGCCCAAGCGGAGGCACTGGCGCAGAGCGCCGAGCATAACCTTGGGCCGTTTTTGGCGTTACGCAAAGCCAGC